TAGCCATACTGTTTTTGAAGATGAGTGTGTTATAGTGGTGCTGAAGCAGAGATCATTGTTGCTAATACTAAAGAAAATGAGCTGTTCTAAAAGGCTACCTCAAAAACAGCACTATTTCTTGGGAACCAGCAGTTAGCGTAATGGCTATGTCGCTGGACTCCCATGTAGTCGACCGTGGTTCGTGTCCTGGACCCGATGGCTTAAAACTCAGGCTGGGCGCATGTGAGTGCTTGCCCAAGATCCCAAGAGGAGAAGGGATTGCGGTGTGACCATCTCCCCTGGGGGGTGATTTCTCGCTTTCTGTCTCTATGTCTGTCTGGTGAGCGCACATGCTCTATAGCAAAAATCTCTCAAAAAACAAACAAACAAACAAACAAAACAGCACTGTTTCTTATAGAAGTCGTGAACATTGTCCACTTTGCTTTACAAGGAATGCCACACAATTTTAAGATGTAATTTAAAGTGTTGCTCATCAAGCCAGAGTGCACTCACTAGTCACTTTATGTGTACACACATACACTTATACACAGTTATGGTCTGTTAAACCCTATTTGAACTTTAGGATGCAAATAGATTAGATTAATTATCTAGTGAGCAAGGAACAATTCTGGATTCCTACTCATACAAAGTCTTTCACTCTAGGGCAAAATTTGTCTCAAAGGTGTGAGATTTCAAAATGTTTCTTTTTTTTACACTTTTCTTACGTTGTTGATTATGTTCTAATCTTTTTTTTAGTTGGAATTATCTTCAGAGGAAAAGTATGCTCCCTTTGACACAATGTCCTGTGTTAAGAAAAAGCAGTCTTTAGAGAAGATACGAACAAACAAAAATGTGTTTTCGTTTTGGTTTTTAATGCATGCATTTGTGTGCATGTGAGAGACAGAAAAAGGGAGAAGAGAGAAAGAGAAATTCCACAATGGGGCCTGGTTGCATCACAATCCTTTTTCATCCAATTCTCCATCCCGTTAGGATCTTGGGTATGCGCACCCATACCCAGCATGGTTTCTCAAGCCACACAGGCCATGATTTAAGCCCTGCACTATTCTGTGGATCTGGCTTTCTCTGCATAGAGCTTAACTGATTTGCTATAGAGCTGGTCAACAGATATGTTTTGAATTAGAGTGTTAGAAGAAAAATAATAGTCATTTTCACAGACACTAAAGGCAAGGATCTATGTTCAATTATATATTTTCAGCCATCTTAATAATTGAGTGAGAAGTATCAATAAACAGTCTGCTCAGGCTGCCATGTGATTCTAATACCAAGATTATCAGAGAGCCAGCCCCATGGCCTAATGCTTAAAGGAACCAGATCCCACATGGCCAGCTGCTGCTTGAATCTTGTCCTCAATGGCTTGGAAAACACACCATGCCCATGTGTGGATAGCCCCCAAAAACCTGGCAGGATGGAGAAATGGAGAAGAGATTGTGATATGACTATATCCTATTGGGGGTATGCTTTCTCCTTCCCTTTTATTCTCTCTGGCAAACACTTGTGATTTCTGCGGGTGGGGGGAGTATTAGAAATACCACAGACATTCTGAGAGACAGATTTTAAATTTTTTTTTTTTTTTTTTTTTTTTGGAGAGGTTTTTTCCTATAGGGTGCATGCACTCTCCCGAAAGACAGAGAAAGACAGAAAGCAAGAAATCACTCTCCCCAGGGGGGGTGGCCATGTCGCAATCTCTTCTCCTCCATTATCCTCTTAGGATCTTGGACCCACATGCACACACGCCTGGCATGAGTTCAAGCTACTGGGTCCAGGACTTGAACTGCAGTCAACCACATGAGAGTCCAGCGACATAACTATTACACCATCTGCTGGCCCCGAGACAGATTTTTAATATACATTTTGCCCAAGATCATTTTGGCTCTAATATCATCTATTGGATTGAAGGAAAAGTCATGACATATTTTTTCTATGTTTTCTATGCGAAAATACCTCATGACTTTTTTGACAAACCAATGGCTTTATGAAAAAGAAAAAGAAAAACCGAGCTTTTAGAGAATAGATGCTGCTATTTCATATTCCACAGAGCAAGAAAAGATATTGCTATTTACTTTGTTTTAACATATTTTAATATGAATGTTGAAGTATATATTATGATACATATTATATATAACATATAATATATGGTCTATATGATGATATATTATCATATATAATATTTAATAATATATTAAATACTCAATGGCAAGTTTATATGAGAAGATTGGCGAAACATTGTGGGAAAGTTTGGCTTCGCATACCTGATATGGGTCTGTACAAGCCACAGAACTGAAAGAATTCTCTAGTTATTCAGATATACCTCAAAGTTGAGGAAGGAATGTGAGAAATCAATGGTGTAAAAATTATTCTGAGGTTTGAGCTGGTCAATGAATTGTAAAGACCTGAAAAATTGAACCATATTCATATAATTTACACATGAAATCATGGCAGCAACATTAATAATAATAGTATTGTGTTTCTTAGAACTCTCTGAAGAATCCATTAAAATTTTATTAGAAAACATTGTTTATAAAGTGAAGAGCCATGAGAGATTCTAGGCAGGTCCACACACCTGTGCCATCATGCTGTCAATCAGACAATGCATGGTTGAGGCTTTCGTCAATGTATGGATGAGTGCATGAATTCTGATCTCTTCCTTTTCATCCTCACTTGTTTAATTGCTATGAAATTGTCTCCTCAATTGGAACAGATCTTAGAATTTAGTCAAATATGAATAGTACCTTGGTTTTTTGAAGAATCTGAGGAGTCCAAACTAATAGTACTGAAACTCCTGTGTCATGCTGGGTAGCAACTTGGTTTTCCCTATCCATCTTTATGCTGATAGATGAAAGAGATTCAGTTAATGCTTGAGCTCTCTAGGTATCTAAAGCACACTAGGCTATTGAAGCACACGTGCTTCCAGTTTCTGGAATCTCACATGGAGTTTAAAACTAAATGGCCTTCAGTGTCTCTCAGCCCCCATTTCTAACTTGTTTAAGGTGGTGCTTACATGGTTTGTGAGTCAACAGTAACCACACCATTGCTGCCAAAGTTGGTAGCAGGCTGAATTCCTTTGGTGTGTGGTCTCTTTCCTGGGCTACATTGCTAGTTCCAAATTCCTTCTGGCTTCAAGAGTCAGGATTGAGGATTGTCTCATGTCATCTGTTGAGTTCCAATCATACATAACCCTCCACACTACATGGTGGGCACCAGCCCTTGGACATACATCGCTTCATTTGATCCTCATGGCTATACTGTGGGTTTGGGAAGGAAGATGCTATTATATCTGATTTTGTAAATTAGGATTCTGAGTACCTTCTATTTCCACATTTGATGCACTAGTTTGAAAATGTGGCTGAACACTCCTAACAGTGACAAATACTCAGAGGAAACATGAAGGATTCAGTCCAACTGGATTCAGTCCACTGTTTCCCAACCTTCAAGTGCATCATGGTATTTGGTGTGTCGGGGAGACGCCTTGGGTGTGTGTCATAGTCTAAGGTTTCCTCATCTCCATGGACTTCCTGTTTCTCATCTCTCTAGCTTCTAACTGTCACTACCACCATATCTCATTCTCCAGCCTCATGTCAAAAGCACAAGTTCGAGAGTTTCTAATCAATAAGGAGCCTTCAGGAGCAGATGAAGCTAACTTAACTAGGTAAGTTGGGGATTTCTCACAACTGGGAGGCAGGTTGAGAGTGTCAGTCACATGCAAGGGCTCTGCCTGTATGCCCATCTGAGATTTGTCACCTGTTGGCTCTATGACCTCAGGCAGACAGGTCTTAAATCTTTCTAAGCCTTTGATTTTTTTAAACTAGTACAATGAGGCAAATAATAGCACCAACTTTATGATTTTATGGAATTATACTGAGGACTAAATCATGTATTGGAAGCATTCAAGACAATCTTAATGCAAAATAAGCACTCAATAGATATTAGCTATTAGTAGTTTCAAAAAAAATTTTTAAGTATATGAAATTTACAGATATAAAGTTGTCTTCAACCAGATAACAAAGGTACATAAAGCTACTAAGCTTCAAAAGTAAATTCTATATTTCTAGAAATCGGACATTAATTTGTTACATAAAGGCTCTCTTATTTCACTCTCTTGCTCATTCGTAGAATAAGAAAAATATGAAAGCAGTTATTAAGAAATTACACTGCACTGGGTGTGTTACGTATGCGACTTAATCCTCACTATAACCCTATGAGGTAGGTTAGATTATTATCCTAATTTTACTAACAAGGAAGCCAAGAGTAAAAGTTACTAAATAACTCACCTATGGTCAGAAATCTTGTTTGCATTGAGGCTAGACTTCAGATTCGGGACATTTGACGACAGCACTCATATGATGAGCACACGACATTGTTAGGTTGTCAGCCAGCCTTTAGATAAGCATGCTTTCCAACTATGGCAAGAAAGAGAGACTGAATAGAGAAAACACAAAAATTTGCTTTGGGGTGTCCATGTTAGGAATTGATATAGCACTACAAACAGTTTGTAAGCTTATTTGTTTGGTGGAAGCTTCATTTGTTTATTGTTTCTATTTGTTTTGTGATATACTGTGCTAAACTAGAGGATTGTTCTATTTTTCACAAGGCCATGGTATCGAAACTTCTGTTCTGAATCTTTAGGTAATCTGGAAACTCACAGTGAACAAACACTCAAAATAACTGAAAAACATTGATTAAAATAAGACCCAAAAAGCCTCTATATGAGATTAAATTCATTCTATTTTGAGAACTGGGCTATGTCAAGACAGTTTCTATGAAAAAAATATTGAGTTGTCAGAAAAGACAGGACATGTTTTTTATGCATCATGACTCTCCTGACAACTCAACAGATTAATGGTGATCCAAGCTAGTTTTACTGTATTTGTTTCCTTTTATAGATTTTCAACCTTCTCAGGATGTTATCCAAGATTTCTTAGGGCACTATTTTTATTTAATTAATCAACATTGATGGATAAAATGAAACTGTGAATATTAAATGTTTTGTACCAGGTATTCCTATGATGTGGTTGTTTTTAATGACAACCTGTTTGATATGTGAAACCTTACGTGCTGGTGGATTCTTGGATTTGGAAAATGAAGTGAATCCTGAAGTATGGATGAATACTGTAAGTCGTGGAATATTCCAAAGAACATCAAATAAAGTAAAATAAATGGGTTGTGAGATTATCAAAGGTCCTATGAGAGCAGAAAGTCTCTGATAAGAAAACAGGTCAAACACAGATGGTTTTTAACACTAATACAGGAATCAGGCTAGGTAGATCAGTTCCTTTAGCTGACAAATGAACAATTTCTAACAATGGAAAGCAGAATGATTTTTTTATATATTATCTCCTATTTTGAATTAGATTTTAGTACTACTAGGCCATTTGAATGGCTTATATGGCTGCCTACCCTGGCAGCTGAAATCATGTTGTTTCACATTCTCTCCCTTCAAGAAATAGCTGTATCATATTTCAGTCAAGAGGGATCTCAAAAGACAGTTGACTTGAGAACATAACTTTATCAGAAAGAGTCAAAACTAAATATCCTCCCGATCCTCAAAAATATTTGCCAATAGCAGATAATTCCTATCTTTCTATTTCTTGTTTTTTCAAGACTACGTAGTAAATTAATTTTACACTTACCTGGGACTACAGATTCAGATCATTCATGCTAATAAAGCAGATGTCAGAGGTTTCTTCCTAGTTCCTTTTGCTAATGCCTACATTGTATTTTCACTGGTCAGAGTGAGCTCATCATCTACAATGGCTACCCCAGTGAAGAGTATGAAATCGTCACGGAGGATGGATACATACTGCTTGTCAACAGAATTCCCCATGGGCGAAGACATGCTAGGAGCACAGGTACAAGACATGGCTTTTCTGAGGAGGACTGCATATGACAGAAACTTACTGCTGTCCAGTCATCAAAAGAGTGATTTGTTTGGATCATTAGATTGGTCTTTATATGGTTAACAGGGAGGCTTTAATTGGTCTTTGAATGATTAACAGGCAAGAACCTAAAAATACAAAGGGCAAGACTGATCTTGCTGATTGCATCTGGGTTTGCTTGTTAGGGTGTATATACCAAGGTGGAGCCAATGTTTTCTTAGCTCATTGCTGATTTCTCATGTGGAAAATTGTTGTGCTCCTGCTCAGAGTCTTTCCTCATTGGTGGAAGAAAATCTGCTGGATGATATGCAGGTGACTGTGGGCTACTTCTGTTTTTGTTTTGTTTTTTTTTTTTTGAGAGATTTTCATTGTAGGGCGCGTGCGCTCGCCAGACAGAGAGAGACAGAGAGACAGAAAGCGAGAAATCACCCCCCAGGGGGGATGGTCACGCCGCCATCCCTTCTCCTCCATTCTCCTCTCGGGCTCTTGGGCACGCACGCACACGCGCCCGGCGTGAGGTTTAAGCCACCGGGTCCGGGACACGAACCGCAGTCGACTATGGGGGAGTCCAGCGACATAGCCATTACGCTACCTGCTGGTTCCCACTGTGGGCTACTTCTGTTTTTTTTTAAGTTTTTTTTTTTTTGAGAGATTTTCATTGTAGGGCGCGTGCGCTCGCCAGACAGAGAGAGACAGAGAGACAGAAAGCGAGAAATCACCCCCCAGGGGGGATGGTCACGCCGCCATCCCTTCTCCTCCATTCTCCTCTCGGGCTCTTGGGCACGCACGCACACGCGCCCGGCGTGAGGTTTAAGCCACCGGGTCCGGGACACGAACCGCAGTCGACTATGGGGGAGTCCAGCGACATAGCCATTACGCTACCTGCTGGTTCCCACTGTGGGCTACTTCTGTTTTTTTTTAAGTTTTTTTTTTTTTGAGAGATTTTCATTGTAGGGCGCGTGCGCTCGCCAGACAGAGAGAGACAGAGAGACAGAAAGCGAGAAATCACCCCCCAGGGGGGATGGTCACGCCGCCATCCCTTCTCCTCCATTCTCCTCTCGGGCTCTTGGGCACGCACGCACACGCGCCCGGCGTGAGGTTTAAGCCACCGGGTCCGGGACACGAACCGCAGTCGACTATGGGGGAGTCCAGCGACATAGCCATTACGCTACCTGCTGGTTCCCACTGTGGGCTACTTCTGTTTTTTTTTAAGTTTTTTTTTTTTTGAGAGATTTTCATTGTAGGGCGCGTGCGCTCGCCAGACAGAGAGAGACAGAGAGACAGAAAGCGAGAAATCACCCCCCAGGGGGGATGGTCACGCCGCCATCCCTTCTCCTCCATTCTCCTCTCGGGCTCTTGGGCACGCACGCACACGCGCCCGGCGTGAGGTTTAAGCCACCGGGTCCGGGACACGAACCGCAGTCGACTATGGGGGAGTCCAGCGACATAGCCATTACGCTACCTGCTGGTTCCCACTGTGGGCTACTTCTGTTTTTTTTTAAGTTTTTTTTTTTTTGAGAGATTTTCATTGTAGGGCGCGTGCGCTCGCCAGACAGAGAGAGACAGAGAGACAGAAAGCGAGAAATCACCCCCCAGGGGGGATGGTCACGCCGCCATCCCTTCTCCTCCATTCTCCTCTCGGGCTCTTGGGCACGCACGCACACGCGCCCGGCGTGAGGTTTAAGCCACCGGGTCCGGGACACGAACCGCAGTCGACTATGGGGGAGTCCAGCGACATAGCCATTACGCTACCTGCTGGTTCCCACTGTGGGCTACTTCTGTTTTTTTTTAAGTTTTTTTTTTTTTGAGAGATTTTCATTGTAGGGCGCGTGCGCTCGCCAGACAGAGAGAGACAGAGAGACAGAAAGCGAGAAATCACCCCCCAGGGGGGATGGTCACGCCGCCATCCCTTCTCCTCCATTCTCCTCTCGGGCTCTTGGGCACGCACGCACACGCGCCCGGCGTGAGGTTTAAGCCACCGGGTCCGGGACACGAACCGCAGTCGACTATGGGGGAGTCCAGCGACATAGCCATTACGCTACCTGCTGGTTCCCACTGTGGGCTACTTCTGTTTTTTTTTAAGTTTTTTTTTTTTTGAGAGATTTTCATTGTAGGGCGCGTGCGCTCGCCAGACAGAGAGAGACAGAGAGACAGAAAGCGAGAAATCACCCCCCAGGGGGGATGGTCACGCCGCCATCCCTTCTCCTCCATTCTCCTCTCGGGCTCTTGGGCACGCACGCACACGCGCCCGGCGTGAGGTTTAAGCCACCGGGTCCGGGACACGAACCGCAGTCGACTATGGGGGAGTCCAGCGACATAGCCATTACGCTACCTGCTGGTTCCCACTGTGGGCTACTTCTGTTTTTTTTTAAGTTTTTTTTTTTTTGAGAGATTTTCATTGTAGGGCGCGTGCGCTCGCCAGACAGAGAGAGACAGAGAGACAGAAAGCGAGAAATCACCCCCCAGGGGGGATGGTCACGCCGCCATCCCTTCTCCTCCATTCTCCTCTCGGGCTCTTGGGCACGCACGCACACGCGCCCGGCGTGAGGTTTAAGCCACCGGGTCCGGGACACGAACCGCAGTCGACTATGGGGGAGTCCAGCGACATAGCCATTACGCTACCTGCTGGTTCCCACTGTGGGCTACTTCTGTTTTTTTTTAAGTTTTTTTTTTTTTGAGAGATTTTCATTGTAGGGCGCGTGCGCTCGCCAGACAGAGAGAGACAGAGAGACAGAAAGCGAGAAATCACCCCCCAGGGGGGATGGTCACGCCGCCATCCCTTCTCCTCCATTCTCCTCTCGGGCTCTTGGGCACGCACGCACACGCGCCCGGCGTGAGGTTTAAGCCACCGGGTCCGGGACACGAACCGCAGTCGACTATGGGGGAGTCCAGCGACATAGCCATTACGCTAACTGCTGGTTCCCACTGTGGGCTACTTCTAAAGAGCCTCTCCTGCTCCTTCTTTTATCATGGGCCTTTGTCTACATGATAAAAAAAATAAATAAATAAACAAAACAAGTTTAATGACAGTGGAACTTATGAAACTTTCTCCAGGAATGGCAACTTTAAAGGTCACATATGCTTTGACCTAAGAGATAGATGATTTACAGAATGAAAGAAAATGATGATCTTAAGACCTGAATTCTAGAATGAGAAGCCAGCTATCTAAATGCCAGGGAATTTCACTCCTTAAAAGAACTGTAACTGCAAAGCCTCTGAGCAGGAGGTAAGAGTAAACAAAATTCTTCCGACGGTTCTATGGTAAATTAGTTACTGGCAGCTGATTACTATGTTCATTCTACATTTTCTTTTTCACCACCTACATCCAGTGGCAGCTAAAATCATGTTGTTTGACATTCTCTCCCTTCAAGAAATAAATTTGTAGTTCAAGAATTTCAGAATAGAAAGTGCAAGTGGGATGTGGATCATTTAACCAGCTAAAACAGGGGACCCCAGAAGCTGCATGGTGGTAAAACAGTAAAATGTGATGCTCTGCAAGGCTTACCCATATGAGAAGGTTGTAGGTTCAAGACCAAAGACCTCTCTAGGCACATATATGCCAATGATCTAGACTGGTTGAAGCTGAGTTGGACACCAGAATCAATACCCTGTTGAGGATATTGTAGCACTTTCAGTCTCTCTCACTCACAATAATTTTTTTAAAAATGGAACACACTTGAATGTCAGATAAACAACAAATAATTTTTTCATGTAAGTCTCATTTTATGATTCAATTATTCACTGTTTATCATAAATTCAAATTTCACAAAGCATGCTGGGTCTTATTGTTTTTGGGGAGGCCTTGTTTTTGTTGTTGTTCTTTGCTAGATCTGCCAATAATAACCATGAGGAAAGGGAGGTGGCAATAGAAGAGAAGAAAACATTTTTAGGAAAGGTTTTACTTAAGTAGAGAGAAATTTGGAAAGATAAGGAATTACAACTCATTTACGACGTGAATTGTCCTAAATACTTAAAACATTTGTCAACCCTATCAAGTAGGTACTCCTGACAGCTACCATTTTGCAGACAGTAAAACGAAGGTACAACAGATTAGGTAACAGTACATACAGCAGGTGATAGAAGCAGAATTGAAACCCAGGCAGCCTGGTTCCAGAGCCTGTGCAATTAGTCATTAAACTATAGTGCCTGTCCTGAACCTTCGACCTTGGTTCTTCTCATCTCCTTGAGTACTCTCTTCATCAGGAATTGAGAAGGGGCAGATAATGCTAAGGTGATCCTCCTACTATAACTTTCAAATGCTCTCCAGTGGGCAGAGACTAGAGATTAGATAGAAGTGTGGTGACGAGCCAATCAGGGCCTGTTTATATTCACCCCTTCCTCCTTCTTGAAAGAGATATGGGACTCCATAAACATGCTACATTTCACATCTGCGAAGGCCACTGCCAGGACACACGTACATATGAATAAATAGCACTGAGCAGTCACAAGCACATGCTTTGACATGAAACAGAAGCAGGTTTGAATTCCTGCTCTGTCCTTAGCTGGGTGACCTCCTGGAATATTTACTTAACTTCCTTAAGGTTCAATTTCCGGGTTTGTAAACTGAGACTCCACAAAATAGCAGTTATTTTATTGAGTAACTGTAAGCATTTAACAAGCTGATATACATCATCAGTATAGCACTAGCTACAAAGCTGTACTCAGAAAAAGGAAGTTATATGATTATAATGTTCTACACTATTGACAAGGGGAAAGGGAATACTGTTTTCTCTTTTTTTTAAGTTTATTTATTTCACAAGAGAGAGAGAGAGAAAGACAAGCCTCAACAGACTTTCATGTACAATCCTACCCCCCAGCCTTTTCAGACAGCCAGGATCACAAACAGGTGCGTGTACACCTGGTATGTACAAGTTGACGTAGGCACTGAACCCTTGTCTTCCAAATGGCCTCCAACACTGCATGGCATTGTGCAATCATTGCACTACCATGGCTGGGCCTGCTTTTGCTTGTCAACATGTGTTGGGAGGGTGGTGGGTGGGGAATGTTTCTGACATATGCTGTTTATCACACATTTCTCTCTCTCTCTGCTTGTCTCTCTCCCTCTCCCTCCCACCCCTCACCCCCAGGTCCTCGGCCAGTTGTGTACATGCAGCATGCCCTGTTTGGAGACAACACCTACTGGCTTGAGAACTATGCCAATGGAAGCCTTGGATTCCTGCTAGCAGATGCAGGTTATGATGTCTGGATGGGAAACAGTCGGGGAAACACTTGGTCAAGAAGACACAGAACACTCTCAGCAGCTGAAGAGGAATTCTGGGCCTTTAGGTGAACTAAATTAAGAAAAATAAGGAGGAAACTTCAAGAGTGTGGATGATATTATCTATGATACTTGGAGTCATGTAGCTCCTTTCAGTTTCTACTAACACTGCAAAGGATGGGGACAGCACAAAGCTTTGATTTTCACTGATTCTTCCACAGGCAAATTATGCCATTTTAATAAGACCATTGTAATATCAAATTCTAGTCATACCATCCATTATTTCTCAAAGGTCAGCTCAGAAAATTCCTATGATCAATGATGCATTTATTCAACTGCTATTTTGGGGAGCTCTCACTTTAAGTACTGTCTTGGGCTCTGAACATACAAACTATGAACAGACCGAATCCCTGACCTCACAAACCTATGTTCATTCTAGTGACACAAGCATTTTCTCCTAGACAGCCAATCAATTTTCCAAAGATACTGTGCATCAGTACTGTATTTATTTAGAGAAACTGTAATTGAGATTTTAGAGAATACTATTTTCAGGAGAACTCCAATATGAGATTTTTGTTTGTTTGTTTTAGAGATTTTTGCTATAGGGCATGTGTGCTTGCCAGAGAGCCAGAAAGCAAGAAATCACCCCTGGGAGGATGGTCATGCCACAATCTCTAGTCTTCCATACTCCTCTCAGGATTTTGGGCACACACACACACACACACACACAGAATGAGTTTTAAGCCACTAGGTCTAGGACTCAAACTGCAGTTGACTACATGGGAGTCCAGCAATGTAATCATTATGCCATCTCCTGGCTCTCAGTATGAGATTTTTAAAGACATGTTAATGGGCAATGAAGAACCTTCTGATATATAGACTATTTCCTTTTTGTTGTTGTTTTTAATTTTTTTGCCACAAAGCTCATGAGCTCATTGGAGAGAGAGACAGAGAAAGAGAAATAATCCCCCGGAGAGATTGGCCATACCACAATCCCATCTCCTCCATTCTTCTCTCAGGATTTTGGACATACATGCATACATCCTGGGCATGATTGTCAAACTGCCATGTGCAGAACTCTGACTGCAGTAGGCCATGTAAGACAATGCCTTAATCACTACACCACCTGCTGGTTCCTTGACTATTTCTTGTAAGGGAGGTATTTTCTGTGTCACCAGAGGCCAAGCTGATGCCTGAAATAGACTTCCCTTTCTTGGGTCTAAGCTCCCTGCTGCTAGAATAGAATATGCATTCCTCCTATTAATAAAATATCCATACCCATTGACAGGTTGAAAGGAGAGGACAGAGTGTTAGACCCAGTGCTCTGAGAAGGGGCAAGCATCAGGAAATAGTTTGTGTCACCATTCCTGGACTAGGAACATAGAGTTTGCTTTATTTAAAGCATCTCAACTGTGCTCTTATACACAAGAGTACCAATCTAGAGATTTCCGTCTGTGTTCTTTCAATAAGAATGCCTCTGGCTTCTAGGGTATGTGACTTTGACTAAATATTACACAGGCCTTTTTGATCTCTTGTATTGGTGTTGATTGGACTGACACTATAGAATTTTAGTGTATTGAGTATATATATATATATATAT